TTTTTTCATTTTTCTTTTAGTTGAAGTATCGTCAGTTACAATGTGTCAGTTTTTGGGGTACAGCATAATGTCCCAGTCATGCATACCTGTGTGTGTGTGTGTGTATATATATATGTGTGTGTGTGTGTGTGTGTGTATTCATTTTCATACTCTTTTTCATTAAAGGTTATTACAAGATACTGAGTATAGTTGCTGGTGCTATACAGAAGAAATTCATTTTTTTATCTAGAAAGCAGCTTTCTTTAGAAGGCAGACTGGTGGTGGTTATGTCTGTCTCTAGGGCGTCCACACTGTAAAACAGACAAACCCATGATTTGTTTATTGTCCCAGTAGAGATGGTATAGGATGGCCAGTCTTGACAGATACTTATACCAAAACCGGCTTCTGTGTGTTTTGAACCCCTGTGGATTAGAATGCAGTAATTTTCTGTGTTTCTTTCCAGATCGTTCACAGAACCCTGGCAGCTATGTTGGGTTCCCTTGCGGCGTTAGCAGCCCTGGCTGTGATTGGCGATGTAAGTTTTGATGCTTTGAGTCGAAGGCTTAGCCCTCAATAGAGCGCCAGATTCAAAGACAGTCCAAGAATTAGGCGTTAGCTGGTGCTTTTAATTTTCATGTACTGTTTTCACGTTTCCCCTGGGAACTGTGCTAGAGGCATGGACAGACTTCACAGCGCAGACAAGTAATTAACATTGACTTTGTCACGCATCCCAGCGGCGTTATCCTTCATCCTCGCTGAGGAAAGGCTCATGGTGGTCACGCCTTTGCCTAGGCCATGTAGCTGAGCCACGTTAGAGCTGGTCCTGCATGCTGTCGGCCCTTGGTACCTGGAGGAGGCCATCCTGGCTGGAGCAGAGCGGTGGGAGATAGTGAGGTGGTGGTGGGGGAACGGTTCTGTACCAGGCAGAAATCAGGGCATCCCTGGAGGTGCATGTGTGGGCGGTGATTGCACCCCCTCAGGCTCTGAGCATGTCTGTCCAGCGGGGACATAAGGATGGACATGGGGAGGCAGGAGAGGCCGAGTGCCCGCCGAGGTTGGAGGCCAGAGCTGCTTAGGTAGGAATGCTGGGACGGACCACGTGGCAACACACAGAACCTGGAGTGAAAACAACTCTGTGGGAGCCCACGGATTGTTCTGAAAACTGCTACTAAAGGCTGTGCAGTCAACCAAAGAATACTGACTGGTTTAAAAATCTGTGTGGGGCTATGTTCGGTTAGTTATTTATAGTTTTTTTTTTTTCTTGGTTAGAGTTGGTGTAAACAAACACTAACCCTAAGGGTGAAATGTCCCAGAATCCTAACACTGACACATAAATCACTGTTATTTTTAATAATTAAGAAATAGTGTAGTGGTAGTTACTTAATTTTAGAAATCACTGACGTGGCTCGTGGCACGTGCTGCGGGAGGCCACCTGGACCATCACGCGGTCCTTGTCCAACAACCAGGCTCTCCGGGTGCCCTCGCTTCACGGAATTCTGTGCCTCCCAGTTCCCCGTGACCCGGCCTTCCCTGCAGGGACGGGGCCAGGTTTAAGACATCTGCTTTTCTTAGTACTAAGTGCGTAGGTTTGACATTATAATGCTTTCATTATGAGTATTTTTCATTGATGACATAATCTGACTTCAAAAGCAAGTGGATGGTGGTGTGATTTTCGACTCTGGCCCAACGAGTGGGTTTGACGTAAAAGGCCACAGGAGGCTGATGTCCGGGACTAACGGGCGGGTTTGTGCTTTGATTGCAGAGGCCCAGCCTGACCCACGTGGTGGAGTGGATTGATTTCGAGACCCTGGCTCTGCTGTTTGGAATGGTAATGGCAGCCTCCCAGCGGGACAGGGCTCCAAGCCTGCGGCAACCTGCGACTTCTCTCTTGCTGCTGCTGCAGCTAATTCCTTGTTGTTGTTGTTTTGTTTGTTTGTTTGGGGGGAGGTAATCAGGTTTATTTATTTACTTACTTATTTTAGTGGAGGCACTGGGGAGGGATTGAATCCAGGACCTCGTGCGTGCTCAGCCCGCGCTGTACCACTGAGCTACGCCCTCCCCCTCTTCTGCAACTAATTCTTAAAGACACCGTGCTGCTTGACAGTTAGGGCTTGACTGAGAAGTGTTTGTGCGGTCTAGCTAATTTCTCCTGTGGAGGAGTGGAATGATTAGTGCTCTGGTGAGTTAGCTGGAAAATTTTAGTCTAAAGCCTGCCTGATAGTGAAATCATGGTCATTTAGCAAATTAAGCAAAGTTTCAAGTTACTGTCCTTAAAATTTAAAATGGGATGTCCTAAGCAAATGAACCATACAAGGTTTTCAGTGATTGGAAAAGTACCTTTAATTATATGGATAAAGGAAGAAATGAAGAAGTCATCCCTTATTTATCATTGTCAAGGGGCCATTGTGTCCTATGTGCTGTGAGGTGTCACCAAATCCACCTGTAGGAAGGGAACTTTAAGACGCACTAGTGGGTGAGTGTGGAACATGAATCATAGATAGATTCAACTTTGAGTACGTGGAGTTTGACAAGGGTCTGAACAGCAGTGGGAATGGCTCATGTGTTGTTTATTTTTTTTCTTGGTTGGGAGGATAATCAGGTTTATTTATTACTGTTATTTATTTAATGACGATACGGGAGATTGAACCCAGGACCTCATGCCTGCTAGGCATGCGCTCTACCACGGAGCTGTACCCCGTCCCCACCCCCCCAGCTCATGCATTCTTGAACAGACCCCACAGCTCCATGATCTGAAGGAGGGTCTTCCCTCTCTGGGCTCGAGGACTCACCCTGTGTGAAGGAGGTCATTATGTACTCTCATTTCCCTGCTAACAGTCTCCTCACCCTGGCACTGTGGGGGGCCTGCTGCTCCAGGCTTCAGTGGGACCCAGACTGGCTGCCTCTCCTGTGGGTGTAGTGTGGGAGGCAGGTCGATGCTCTGAACTTAGGCTTCTACAGAGGAGCTAACAGTTGTGTTGGGTCCCGAAAAGGCTGTGGGGTTTGGGCGTATGGGAGGAAGGTGGAAGGCGTATCAGATGTTCTATAAAATGAGTTTTTTTTTAAACTTCAGCGATTGGTGTTAGTTTGCTGGAGTGCCGTAACGCAGTACCACAGACTGGGTGCCTCAAACAGCAGACGTGCGTTTCCTCCCAGTTCTGGAGGCTAGAGGTCCAGGGTCAGGGTGCCAGCAGGGCTGGTTTCTTCTTTCTGAGGCTTCTGTCCTCTTCTTATAAGGACACCAGTCATACTGGACGAGGGCCTCATTTTAATTTAATTACCCCCTTGATGTAGTCACCGCACTTGGAGCTGCTGGGGGCTTAGGATTTCAACATGTGAGTGGTTTAATTTTTTTCAATTGGAATCAGCTCAGTAAGGTTCTGTGATGCTAGGACTTCAGGTGCAAAGACAGCCTATAAAGCCAGGCCCTTCCGTTTTCATCCTAGTTCATGCCAGTCCATCACCCATGGGGCCGCTTGCCCAGGCCCTGAGTTCCAGGCTCTCTTGGGGGTTCTGGCAGCAGTCGTGGGGCACAGCTTCCTCACGACAGTGGAAGACCACGCAGGACCTGCCCATCCACGTGGCCATTTGGGTTAGGATGAACGTGGTGGTCACTTTAGACAACGCAGGTGTTGGTACTGGGCTAAATTAATTTTGGGACGTGTTCTGTTTTGCATGGTTTCTTTGAAAGACAGTACTGGGCCCACTATTTTCTAAGTACTTTAATTTACATAATTCTGTTGAATTTTCACAACCATCTTATAAGGAACAGACATTCAGAGGTGAGGCGA